TATATTATATACAGTTGCTTTGCAAATCTCAAAGCACGTACAATATCCAACGGCACTCTATGGCTCTTTCCGGAGGTAATAAAATATAACTGCTTAAAAGCTAGTTGTTAAAGATTTGAAGACAGTTTTCCACTTGAAATTACAATTAAAACAACAAATATTTCACTTCGGTCATTTGAGATGCAAAAATGTAAAAAAATTTAAAATGTTTCCCATACAGTAGCTTTGGGTGCATGACTACAGGTGTATTACTAAATTTCTATTATATTTATAAAAATATGACTGTTGACAAATGTGTAACATTCATACAGTACAGTACATGTAGGCAATAAGGTAAAACTATAGTCATTCACCTGTCTTCAAACTAAAGCTGTCAAATATAAGTAATTAGTCTATATTTATAAATACTGTACAGTAAGATCACATATAGTTTTCCTGATTATATTTTTCTTGATCATCTGGCATAATATCATCTTCCCTAATGCATATTAAAGTACATAAGATATTCATTTGATTTATGCATTCCTTTTTTGCAACTAAATTAACAGTGGCGTAGCCAGCTCGATAATTGGGGGGGGGCATATTCCGATTTCAAAAGAAATTAATAATGCAGAACACGAATATATGAATATGCCCCCCCCCCCTCAATTATCGAGCTGGCTACGCCACTGTAAATTAATCAATTCAATATGCTGATAAAATGTCTCTAATGTATGATAGCCACTTACATGGTTTGATAATACTTTTCAAGTATTGTCTGTGTTTTGTATGTATTCTAAAACATAGGGTCACTGGGTTGTCAGTATTTCAACTACTACTATGTGTATTACCCTCCTTAAAAATTGTACAATTTACATTAGCAAGCCTGATACAAGTACAGTATGAAGTAAATTTGGAAAAGTCTAATTTGGAAATGTCTACTAATAATGTGATTTCATAAGGATGTACATATTACATGTACTTACTTATGGTAGTTAAGCTATTTTAATACTAAAAAAACTTTTTTTACTACTGGCCTACTACAGTACTTTAACTAATTTTTATTACTTGACTATTATTATTATTATATATTTTGGCACAAGTCAGTCCCTACATCAGTAATTATAGTTATTAGTAAAATAACGGGGCAAATTGGGCCTGCACATTGAAATACATGTAAGTTAATCAATGGTTACATGTGTTAATCTTTTTGTTTTAAATCAAAGGCATGTCTCGTTTGTGCCTTGTCCTTTTGAGATACTTGTGTAATGAAATTTGTCTGATATGTAAGAATGCTATGAAAAAGCTTATAACATTAGTGCAAGAACAACAATCATACAAAACCAATACCAGCCAACAAAACAAAACTGTTGGTCTGATGATGATTTAGCAATGAAATCGAAATATCACAAACTCATTTTGGTCTTGTTTTAACTCACGTCTTGGGTTTCAAGATGTTAATGTTTGGATCATGTTTTGTACATTGATCGTACAATCAACAATAGTCAATACATGTATCTATACATATGCTCACAATTTGAGTAAAGTACACTGTACCGGTATATTGTAAAGAAGCTAACCCTCAGTATTAAACTGTGGCAAATCTGGCCAATATACATCACAGTATTTTAAATATTGTCTTTGATTTCATATGTCTCTAGATTGAAAAGTCTGGTAGTAGTGACCTGGATCAAAGTGATGATTCGGAAACCCAGAGTGATTCTGAACACGGCAGTGATAGTGGAGAGATTTGGGATGCTACTTTAGGTGAACACCTGGATGAAGATATCCTAAACCCTCCGCCAATACCTGAACCAGCTTGTAAGAAGAAGAAATTTCACATGGTGCACTCACTTCTGCAGTGGATGTTATATTTTCTTTTGATTTGGCAAAGCATTACCAACCTCAGTGACAATGGTCTAACATGGCTGTTGCAATCGCTTTTCCATTTTCTACGAGCACTTAATGTCCATATTCCAGATGAAATTCTTGTGAAGCTCATAGCAGTATTTCCATGTTCGTTATATATGGTCAGAAAGTATCTCAACCTAAATAGAGATAACTTTACGAAATATGTTGTATGTCCAAAATGTACCAAATGCTACCATTATGATGAATGCTTAAAGAAAGCTGCAAATGGAATCACAGTTGCAAAATGTTGCTCAAATATTTCTTTCTCGAGAGGAAAAGCAGTAAGATGCAATTCGAAGCTCGTCAAGAAAGTTGTCCTAAAGGATAACCAAATCAAATATTATCCAGATTTTTACTACTGTTACAATGGGATCATCAACTGCCTTGAAGAAATAGTAAGTAGGAAAGGAGTGCCAGAAAGCTGCGAGAGATGGAGACAAGCTGCTCCCACTAACTGCATGACTGACATATACGATGGTAAACTATGGGATGACTTCAAAACAGTTAATGGAAAGGACTTCTTAAATGGTCCGAGAAATTATGGTTTAATGCTAAACTTCGACTATTTTCAGCCAATGAAACACAGGAAAGATTATTCTGTGGGTGTGCTCTACTTGGTTTTACTCAATCTTCCCAGGTCTGAACGCTTCAAATGGGAAAATGTTATTGTTATTGGTGTAATCCCAAACATGGAGAAGGAGCCAAAGTCTCTGAATGAATTTCTTAAGCCTGCCGTCTCTGAACTCCAGGCATTGTGGAAAGGATTGTATTTAAAGAACAGTCTGTGTTCTATTCCCTTAAAATTCAGAGCAGCTCTTCTTTGTACATCTTCTGACATACCAGCATCGCGAAAACTTTGTGGCATTAAAGGTCATAGTGGCGAGCTGGGATGCTCGAAGTGTTTGAAAAAATTCCCAGGTAAATTTGGAGAAAAGAGAGACTACTCGGGTTTCAATCGTGATGACTGGGAGAAGCGCACTGACAAAGATCACAGAAGGATCGCAGCGAAAATTCTGAAATGCAAAACAAAAACAAAAATTAACGAACTTTCCAAAAAGTTTGGAATTAATTACTATTCAAGTCTTTTGGATTTAGAATACTTTGATGTCATTCGCTTTTGTGCGATTGACCCTATGCACAATTTATTTCTTGGGACAGCCAAGTATGTTTTCAAATTGTGGGTTGCTGATGATCACCTCACTTCTAAGCACTTGCAACAGATCGAAACGCGGATTGAAGAAATGGAAGTCCCATCGCATATTGGGAGGCTACCCAAGAAAATTGCATCAAATTTTGGTTCTTACACAGCGGAGCAGTGGAAGAACTGGACAACCGTATATTCACTGTTTGCTCTAAAAGGGATAATTAATGATACACACTACAAATGCTGGCAATCCTTTGTACTAGGATGCAGATATATGTGCAAGCCAGTCTTGACAGAAGCAGACATTATTAAAGGAGATGGTTTAATCCTAAAGTTCTGCAAGGAGTTTGAAGCACTATATGGTGGCAAAGCTGTTACACCAAACATGCACCTACACTGCCATTTGCGGGAGAACATTCTAGATTACGGTCCAATTCACAGTTTTTGGTGTTTCAGCTTTGAGAGGTACAATGGTATTCTTGGCAATATGGCAACTAATAACCGTTCAGTGGAACTACAACTGATGCGGAAACTTAAAGTTTCCCAATCACTAACAAGTATTTGTATGCCTGGTGATTGTGGTGAATCTTTTCAGCAATTGATCGCCAATATGAAAAATCAGGAAGAAATGTCTAAAGAATCAAAGAATCCAACCCAGCTTCTAGAATACTACAACATATACTCAACTCTACCACTTTCAACCATTAACTGGAATAACATTTCAGCAGTAACATTACCTTCCAGTCATAAAGAGCGAAGCTTTGATAACGATGATTTATCTGTTCTTTTAGAAGTGTACCAAATTATGTACCCCAGAGCTGATATTATCCTTGAACACCTCAGTAGAACATTCAAAATGTACAGTACTGTGCAAATATTTGGTCTGCAGTATGGGTCCAAGAAAGACCACAGAAGTCGGCGTACAGCAGGAATTCTTGCTTCCTGGCCAGAAATTGATGGAAAGATAAACACAAGTAGTCTAAGAATGACATTTGGATTAGTAGACTACTATTTTATTCATACTCTGGTAATCAGAGGAGAATACAAGAAGTTCTGTTTTGCATGTGTCACCTGGTATATGCCATCTGATGATACCATTTATAATGGACTAAATCCACTTTTGGTTACACGCAAGCAGAGTGTACTAGGGGGACCTTCAAGATTTTTGCCAGTCCAAAAGATCTCTTGCCATTGCTCTATTGCCACAGTGAGGAATGAAAATGGAGAAGAAAGGAATATTGTGTGCCCGTTCGTGAAGTCTTTTTGCTTATAGACATGCAGTAAACACCTGCGGACATGCTACAAGAACTAATATTTTAAGCACAGGAAGCGATTTTATACTAGGTACTGTATAACACTCTAGGTCATTCATACAAATAACTTCATGTATAATTTGTTTTAAAAAATAGAATCTAATTCATGCATATTTACATTTCAAATTAGCTTGATATTGCTTGATATGTCATTGACAGCCATTCAATTTTCATTAAAACTGATTTGGAAATTAGGCATACTGTATCTATGATAGCAAAGTTATTTGAAATGCATGCATAAATTTGGTTTCGATTTTTTAGACACACAGTATATAAGGACCTCTTTAGGTCCTAAGGCTAACTTGAAATATTCTACTGCACGAAGGTTCTTAGTGTATCTACAGTACTATCTACATTGCAACAAAAATCTATGCAATTGGGTGTTTAATGTAAATACACTGTCCTGAAGTAGTGATACAATAGCAGCAAAATACCAGTACACCCTTTCGATAATTACGTCATTTGGCCTGGGAGCCTCGCTCTCATGAATCGTCAGCCAATCGCCCTGCGTCTTTTACTCATGGAAGCGAGGCTCCCAGGCAAAAACAGCATTCGTGACGTAATTATCGAAAGGGTGTATTAATGAAGTATTTTCTGGAACATTTTAGTCCAGAGAATGAATTAACTCGATATGAAAGAATTTACAGTCCTTTACCTATTTTATAAATACTGAATCCTAACTTGTGTTCTCTCATATTTTGTATCTAACACAGGCAGGGGTTTCAGAATAAGCCGGCGGAGTTCCGCCGGCTACTTGAACTTTTACCGCCGGCTACTTTTCGTCATGTCACAGGAAAAATTTTATATACCAAGGTACAAGCGAACCAACACGATGTTTGTTATGTTCCAATTGGAATTCAAGCAAAACATCACTTATTCTGGAAGATCAATAAGATCAATAATACATAGTACCAAACATAGCTTGCTTTCTTAAGTTGCTATCGAAAAAGCGATAATATAAACATTCTTTGTTTTCTCGTCGCCATCTTAAATTTCGCAGCAAATGGTCAGCGGCTCTGAATCTTCCTGAACAGGAAGATGACTCTGATTGACTCTGGCAGTGACTTAAGCATTGGGGAATCCGAATTTGACAGTGAGCCAGAGAACGAGTCAGATTCAGAGCTACTTTAGCAAATGTTTTTCTAGTGACTAATTCTTTGACAGTGAACTAATTATGATAAAGTGATGAAGTAAATTCATTAGTACGTACATAAGTATAACATCATTTGATTAACAATTTCGGATTCATAAATTAATACTAATAGTGTACCAACTCATTCTCTTCATGCAGCTGTAAAAATTAAACTACTAGTAGCACATTAAAGTACACTGTCACTTACAAGTATAAATGCAAATGACATCTAAATCTAACAAGTCAACAGTTGTACTTTGTCTCTTTAGTTTTTCTATATTATTTGACTGTTAAGGCCCATTTACACGAGCGATTGTTGCTGCGATTTTAGTTGCGATTTTCTCCTTTTGGAGGATATGAAGGAGTAGATTACTTAATAACGTTGTTATGAAATTTCACAACCTGGAACATTTATAACTTATCCACTCCTTCACATCCATCAGAAGAAGAAAATCGCCCTAAAATCGCAGCAAAAATCGCCCGTGTAAACGGGCCTTTAATGGACCAATCCCCAATTAACCAAAATTTTGAACTCAACAAGTATAGACAAACATTTCATCACAGCTTGAAAGAGCACCACAAAATTAGTAATATTCCAAAGTTTCGTTACAAAATGTTGTAAAATGCGGATTGTATAGCCTTGGGAAGTTTTCTATTTTCAGTCATTTTGTATTACAAACTGGAAATGGTTACCACTTCTGTGCGTAATACAAAATGACTGAAAATTACAAACTTCCCAAGGATATATTATCCGCATTTTACAAAATTTCGCAACGATATACTTGGGAATATTACTAATTTTGTGATGCTCTTTCATGCTATTATGGATTTTGTCTGGACTTGTTAAGATCAAAATTTTGGTTAAGTGGGGATTGGTCCGTTTGCGGCGAAATTTTTTTAAATTTCCATGCGAGGGCACGCCCCCCTCCCCGCGCGAATTTTTAACTTTCAGTCACAACCGGCTACTTTTTTGGTACAGCCGCCTACTTCAAATCATTCTGAAACCCCTGCATGACAGGGCCGTAACACAGGTCCGTAATTTGCTAATAATCATTCTGCAAAGAATGAAGATTGAACAGATAAAAGGCTGGTTTCTGACCATCAGAAATCTGTTAAATTTCCCCCAAAGTCCAGGAAATGGCATTTCAGAGACTCTAAATTTAAAAAATTCCTTGGGCCTTGGGCCCTCGCTTTCAACCCCACCCCCAATAAAAAAGAGCTTCCTACAGCCCTGTAACTACAGACTATTTTATTCTTCAAGTAAAGTGGGGCGAAGTGCTTTCCCAAGTAAAGCTATTACTGTATGGTAATATGCATTAATGAGCGAGAGTCTTTGTCAAACACAATATGGCACCATCAAGGTGTTGCAAGAGTATTATAACAGAGTGCAAATTCATTTACAGTATTGCCACTATTGGCATATACATTGCAGGAATTTACAATATAAGTTCTGGAATGTTGCTTTAATGCTTATAAGCTCTGCAGTTGGTCAATTATTTGATCGATTGTATGTCTGCGTTCTGGTGTTCCATTGATGCAAGTCACAGCAATGAGTCGTAAATTTTCAATTTTATGGTAAAAGCATATTAAGGAGATAACTAAGCCAAATGCATAGATATCACTTGCTTTTGTAGGAGGATGAGTGCCTTGCACAACTTCTGGGGCAATATGCTTGTGATATTTGTTATACTTCTCTTGTTCAACGGTAGATAGCTTTTTAATCTTTGCCTCACAAGCCTTTTGCATTTTCCCAAAGTCAATAACAATTGGGTAAAAACCCTTATTTACTTTATTAATTACAATGTTGTCACCTTTTAGATCACAGTTGATATAGCCCTTTGTATGAATTTGAGAAATAGCTTTTGCACACGCCAATAACACATCTACCCACTGCCTCTCAGATGTAAACATGCTGGTCTCTGCAGCTTCTGCAAGAGTTATTGACCGACCATCAATTCCATAGCACTCCATGACAATGAAGTATGGCTTGGATTTCACATTGATGCCAAATATGTATGGCAGACCTATTGAAATTTAGAAGCATCTAGTTAGTTAAGATGCTCAGAATATTTGTATTGTTTGTAATGCACAATAATAATAATACTGTACATCTAAGTACTGTAATAATTAGTTATAAATATTATTATTACTAATTGTACAACATATTACAATGGAACATTTTATTTCTTACTCACAGAGCTAGAGTATCATGATTCCCAAAGAATGGGAAACTATTGTCACTATGCAAGTAATTAAGTACATGGCAAGATGTAACTTTTGAAACACCGGCAAGCATGGCAACCACACAATTACCCTAATATACCACAATGTGCTCTCATGTGGCCAACTTTATACTTTTAATCTGGCTAATGCCAGACAATTTTACATGCAGAAAGTAAAGTCTTGCAATGTTATCCTAACTATCCACCAATTGATGTTTCTTGTTAAACCCATTAAGCCGCAATTATCTTTCATGCGCACTACATTATATTTTTACTCTGTGGCTAATGACAGATGATTTTACTTGCTGTGGGGGAAGTCTTGCATGTTAATGATTACCCTAACAATCTGCCAATTGGTGCTCTTGTTGACCAATTAAGCCGCAATGTGCTTTCATGCGCCCTACATTATATTTTTACTGTGGCTAATGCCAGTCAATTTTACTTCCTCAGAGGAAAGTCTTGCATATGTTAATGGTTATCCTAACTATCTGCCAATTGAAAGTCTCTTGTTAACCGATTAAGATGCAATTCACTTTCACACACCCTACAGTACATATTATATTTTTGTCCTGTGGCTAATGATGTCCTCGGTATAACATTTTCTTGCAATAACCAAAAACTCCACTACCTAGGACATCTTGTTCTGGAACATCCTTGAGGTTACACCTTTCTATTTCATGAAGTTGTCTGCAAAATAATCCAAATAGAGTGATGAACAAGGAGGACCAGGTGGTATTTAAAGTTTGCATAGCATGCTGTCTCTTATGCGCGAATCAAATCGAAACCTTGACATCCCCCCTGGGCATACCCCCGGGAATTTGGATTTTGACGTTTTGGTCAGGTCAAATTCCCTACATATATTTGTAATTCCCGTTCAAATACACCATGTATTGGGAAAAATTGGAGTTCAAATACCCCACCCCATGTACGAATTGGAAGCTACAGCATTTCGCAATTTTGGAATTTCAAAGTTTTTCTTTCCTTCAAAAACTCTCTTCAATCGTTCAAAGCCGTTTTCTTGTAGCCAACCAAGGACAAAGTTAATTCCTTTGCACTTGAAGACCTTGAACTCATCCATTAATTATTGACGCCATTTTGGATTCTGCACACGTGTTTAAAAGAAAAATTCAAATTCCCGACCCCCTTCAAATTCCCCACCTTCCACTAGAAAATTCTTAAAATACTAAACAAGCAAATTCCCCAGGTATGCCCGGAGGGGGGGATGTCAAGGTTTCGATTTGATTCGCGCATTACATTAAGCCCATGCCATCTCTTACATTAAGCTCATTCCTTATATTATTATTGTTTATATATTCTTAAGATAATACAAGCTAATGATTAAACGCCACTCAAGATGAACAACTGCTGAAAAATCGACAATTGGCTCATTACTAATCCCTATCTAATCCCCATACCCTGCCCTGGGGATAAATAAATTCTAAAAGCTTTAAATCCCCCACACTCTTGGGAGTGTTTTCTGATCTAAACCCCTACCAACCCCTATTAACCCATTGAGCCGCAATGCACCCCAGTGCACCCTACTTATTTTTTTTACTTGTCTAACGCCAGACAATTTTACTCATCAATGGAGAAGCTCTGCAACTTAATGGGTTAACCAAAATATCTGACAATGTCTCTAGTTAACCCATTGAGCCGCAATGCGCCCCAGTGCGCCCTACTTATTTTTTTTACTTGTCTAATGCCAGACGATTTTACTCGTCAATGGGGAAGCTCTGCAGCGTAATGGGTTAATGCCAGATGATTATAATACCAGATGCTTTTACCTGTTAAGGGGATAGTCATGCAATGTTAATGGTTAACCTAACTATGTGCTAGTGTATCTTGTTAATATTTAATCCATGAAAGTACAATGCACAGCATTAAATGAGCCATACAGTATTTTTTTACACTGTACATGTATGTTGGTTATATAGGCTAACTATCAAAGTCGCCCTTCATAAAAAATGTGCTGCTAAATTGACTTACATGTCTTTCTGCCTTTGTGACTTTTCCTTGCGCCACTTTGTCCAGAAATACTGAGCCATTTCCCTATTCTTGCCTGCCTTCTTCTTCTCACAAATTATTTCTTTGGTAAATCTGCAGCTTTCCAGTTGACGAGCGTCCTTAAATTTCTGCTGTAGTTTCATCTTTAATGATTTCTTTGACAACTTCCTTTCTTCTTGTCGTTTTCGTCGCCTTCTGTTGCTTTTTTTCTTTCGGATTTCTTCCAAAGTGTTAGGTCTAGACAAGCGAGATTGCTTCGCTAAAGGTCGAACTTCGAGTCCTTCGAGGCCATGTTCTTCGATCTTTTGACTCTTTTGCTGCAGTCCGTGGTAGGCAAGTGAGTCACTCGCCTTGCGAAATACCAGACTAAAATGCGCCATTTCAGCCAGTTCTACAACAAAGTCGTCAAAAACACAAAAAAGTATAATATACTTCGATTGTATAGATGTATCTTTCGACTAGCCTTTGAACATAATACAATTCCCACGCAAAATTGCACTATTTATATCGTCGTTCGCGCATTCTCGCGCGAGCTCACATTTTCTGTGTTTCTCCGGGAGGTATGATTGGTGTACATAAAAATGAACAGAGAATTGAAATAATTTTGCCTCTTTTCTTTCAAAAATAGTCACTATTAATTTATAGTATGTAAATCGTAAAGGAAACTGTATGCTTAAGCAACAATAGTTTCATACGATCTTTCTACACAATGAAAGGCAATGCATATCTTACCCTACCCCTACACGTCGTTTCCTTTGTCAAGATGGAAATAAATTAATTTGTTTACGTTTTCACGGTCACTGGCCTGCCGCTGTTATTTATTAAATTGGGGGGAATATACCTATAGTTCGTTTGTAATGTACGTATTAAAGATTTTACATTATTTGTTGTGTTTCGCTTGATTGGAAGCATTGTGTGGTTGTGGTTTTGGCTGAATAAGAGAAGCATTTACACGCAAGCAATAAACATGCACGGAACAGATTTTACCGCACCGGGACGCCCCGGGAATAAATTACTTTCGGCGCCAAATCTCGCGAATCTAAGTGGTTCGTTTTGTATTTTTATATTAGAAACTTATCGCGCCAAAATCCTAACGATACATAACGAACTATAACACCAAGCGAGTGGGTCAACGTTCATTCGCTCCGCACTATATAATATTTTAATCTGTATTACCATAAATACCATAAATATTTTATTAACAATGGCTGAGGTTTCCCTGAGCGATCGGTACGTTCTACTTTTGAACGATGTAGTAAACGAGAATAAGGCAGTGAGGGAAAAGCTTGAGCAGACGAGTGCGTCAACAACGATTGATCAAAGGGCGCTCAAGGATTTGGCGAAGAAAGTTGACAACTTGGATGCCAAGATATCCAAGTTAGCAGAACGTGGAAGGCCTGTTCGGCAAACTGGTGGTGCCAGAATACAAGTGCCAAAAATGTGTAGTGTAAGTACGTGTTTATATTTTTAATCCTGTTTTAGGTATAGTACGGTCTTGGTAATGGCAGCATGAGACAGCAAACGAACATTCCGTTTGTACACGTACTGTATAGATGGGTTTCATTAGGCATTTTACATAGGGAAACCCTTGGTGGTCAACTTTACACGTATTGATGCTTTATATGCCTTGTAGGAGCAAGCAAATGACGCCAAATTACATGTATTTGCCACCAAACACAAGGTCAATAAACATAGTGTGCAATTTACTCACTGCGATAAGATAAATAAATCTCCTTTTAGAGTTGACCCACCTATACTATGTTTTATGTTCAGTTGTTTCACAGGTCATAATAACTCATATTACTTTATAAACAGAGCTCTCTTAAAGCTGCCAGTCTGCCATGCATACCTAAACAAGGATAATAACTTGGCATATATATACAGTGTACTTTATAACATTCAACATGACATATGTCTATGAATACAATATACTAGCTGGTTAATGTACGGTAGACTATATCTATTCATATCTCTGCAGACTGGCAAGCTATCTCTGCACAGACTGGCAAGCTAGCCGGTTGTTAATGAGGCCTGCTCTATCCCTATTTAGTATAATTTCAGTGTTAAAAAATGAACTTTGAGCATTCTGATTGATTCACTCAGCAGTAACTCTCAGGCAATAGTTACTGCTGTGAGCAGTAACTATTCCTTTTCCCAAAAAAATAAGCATGTTTGATCACCACGCATGATAGTGATTATGTACTAGTTGTATTTATAAATAAAACTTTTTCAATACTGAATTTATACTAAAACAATCAGTCGCCTCAGGCTCTGTGATTACAAGCCTATATTCACTTTGCGTTCGGCTCAGTACCAAAACCAGTACATAAGATAATAATTACCTGTAACATAATATTATGAATATATACCTAATATATAATATTACCACAATTTTTTTCTGTGTTGCTGTTATATACTCAGGTGAATATGATGTTTGTGATGTTACTCTGAGTATATATCCACACCGAGCAAGCTTGAAAAATATGCCTGGCCACGGTGGGAATCGAACCTATGACCTTTGGAACTGACCGCGTAGCTCAGTTGGCAGAGCATTGGGCTAGTATTCCAAAGGTCGTATGTTCGACTCCGACCGTGGCCAGGCATGTTTTTCAAGCTTGCCCGGTGTAGATATATACTCAGAGTAGCATCACAAACATCATACTCACCTGAGTACATAACACCAACACAGAAAAAAATCATGATTACTAGATTGCATTAATATCGAAGGAACTAGACTCAGTTCTGAAATATCACATACTCGAACCGACCTGACCACGTAGCTCAGTTGGCAGAGCATTGGGCTAGTATTCCAAAGGTCGTAGGTTCGATTCCCACCGTGGCCAGGCATATTTTTCAAGCTTGCCTGGTGTGGATATATACTCAGAGTATAACATCACAAACATCATATTACCACAAATCGTTGTATATATTGTAATGCAACCAAAGCTAGGGGTGCACCGGAACCAATTTTTTAAGTTCTGGCGTACATTTTCCTTGTGTAGTCCTAATTTCCTCCTATGATGCGATCTGTTCATTCTTTATGATTGATACTATTCAATCAATAAACTTGATACTCTATGTCTCTGAAAACGATGTCCAGAGTTCTGGTTCCGACCATGCTCTTTTTTTATTAGTTCCGGCCGGAACTCTGAAAAATCGGGGTTCTGGCCCGAACTAACTGGCTGGAACTGAGTTCCGGTGCACCCCTAACCAAAGCCAATGCCAAGAATAATAACCAGTGTACTGCCAGTATGGAATGAAGGCGATGTGCACGGCACATGTGCCGTGCACAAAGGCTGCTCTCGGTGCACAAATTGGTGCACAACTTGCCCAATAATCCCGCTTTGGTGCACACAATTTCCTTCTGTTATTCAGGGGTGCACAAACAATTTAGATTTTAAGATTTCAAGAATTATACGGACTTGATTTTGAAGTTTTTGTGGCCACTGGGCCTGGCCGGTGTTTTCAATGAAAAGTTTAAAATGCGAATCTATTATTTAATATATAATTAATTATAGTAAGGCGCTCAACCCGTTTAATGCAGGCTAATTTTAATATATGCGCATAATTATAATATAAATCTCGCCCCAGTACTTTGAGACTCGTTTTTCAAAATGGCGACCAGATAAAGATTATCGAACAATGAATAAATGAATAATTAATGTTTTTCCATTATTTAAAACTCTTTATAAATTGCAACAAAAAATCTAAAATGTGAAACGAAATAACAGAAAAGTGAAAATGGCATCATTTCAAGCTGAGTTTTCAGATCATTCCGATCGCGAAGAAGAGTGGGAGGATATGTTCACATCTACAGTGTGTATCAAAATAATTCGAATCCAAATTTGACAGACTGCTGTTTATAAAATACTAAAGTAAACCTTATAATTTTTATATGGCAATAAAGAATAGCCTATTAGGTTTCCGATTATATCGTTCTTATATCAATAAGATCAAAAATGACCAAGAAATCGTGTGTTAAAACTGGTTGCTCGAAATCAAATTTTTCCGCCGATGGGAATTCGAAGTGAGACGTACAAACAAAAGATAATGCAAATTTAATTAATCAACAAACTGTTATGTAGCAAAATTTACATAAATTCGTGTTCATTTAAAGAGATTTAAGCTCCTATGCCTTCAACATGTTGAACGAGAAGAAATTCGCGTTAAATTTGCATTTTAGTTTTCAGTGATGATTAGCATTTCAAAGCCTTGTGGGACTAATTTTGAAAGAAAAAATGTCCAATTCCCATCGGCGGAAAATTGTGATTTTTATGGACTTTTTGTCAAAGCAATACTCCTTCATTTTCCAACTAAATGACGCGTACAGCATGTCATTTGAAAGGTAAATAAATGAACTTAACAATGGTGTAAAAACCAACCGAATTTGTCAAATATATTCTGCGTTATTACACGCCAAATTTGGATTCGAATTATTTTGATACACACTGTACAACAAACGAAGTTCAAATACAAAAAAGAGTTTTTAACATTGAAGATGAAGAAGCCACAGTCATTCCGAAAACAATACCTGCCAAAAATTCGAGTCTTTCGAGAAGCAGAAACATACTATCATTTTTTCAAGGTACCAGTGGTGTTACATCTAAGATAAGATAAGATAAGATAAAGATTTATTAGCCACCAATACCATTTACAATATTTCTGATTTCTAATATACTGTTACTGTTTATATAATGGTAATTTATGTTGTTATATTTGCAATGGTTATATTAGTGGCAAGGAGTTATCCAGAAACCATAAGGCTTATAAATTGGATATCTCCTTGAAGCTTTTCAAAGTATATATATCAAAAGTATTTTGTTAAAACAATTGCGACAGCTAGTGAACACAGTTATATGGCTTAACATTGAAGTAAATATTTTCGTATTCTATTCCTGAAGTAATTTAACGTCCCTGCATTCTTAACGGTGTCAGGGAGCGAATTCCACAGTTTTGGACCTCGTGAAAGCATAGTAAATTGTTTTATATTAGTTCTACATGCATGTGAACGATATGTGTCAGCGTTTCTAGTATTATAATTATGAAACTGGTTGCTGGTGCTAAATAAGTTAAGAAAGGGGGGTGGAAGTAATTTGTTATGGTAGGAATACATGAATATACCTGTACAAAAGGAATTAATCTTATTGATATCAAGTATTTTCAATTTTTTAAAAAGCGGAGCAGTATGAGCCAAAAAGCTCGAACTAGTCAATAATCTAACTATTCGCTTTTGTAGAATTTGTAACCGTTTTAAGTTAGAAACATATGTAGACGACCATATTGTGTTGCAGTAGATAAGATATGGATAGATTAAGGTATAATATAACGACAATTTAGTACTTTTCGACAAGTTGAAACGAGCTCTGTATATTACACCGATAGACTTCGAAACTTTTTTGCATACGTAATTTATATGAGGTTTCCATGAGAGATTTTGATCTATAAGGACCCCAAGAAATTTGATCTGTTTCTTTTGTGTGATTAATCTGTCATCAAGAAGAAGGAGAATTTCATACGTGGATTTCTTTTGGGTTGGTTGGAAAATGATGTAGTTGGTTTTATCAATATTGACAGAGAGTTTGTTAGCTTTCATCCATGTACTAATATTTTGTAATGCCTCATTTAATACTGTAGCTAATACTATGGGATCGGAGCTAGCATAACAAATGCTGGTGTCATCTGCAAATAATAGTGGTTTGACTAAATGTGAGGCGTTTGGAAGATCATTAATATAAAGGATGAAAAAGAGTGGGCCCAATATTGACCCTTGGGGTACACCACATTGTATGGCTATTCGAGCAGAAGAAAATTTATTATATTGAACAAATTGTGTTCGGTTATTGAAATAGCTCTTTACCCAATTTAATGCCACTCCACGAATCCCATACCTCTCAAGCTTAGAAAATAATATATCATGGTTTAAGGTATCAAATGCTTTAGACAGATCTAAGAAAACACTTGCTGTTATTTCTTTTTGATCAATAGCAGTTGCAATTTTATTTATCAAGTGAGTAAGAGCAAGATTGGTTGAGTGGTTAGTTCGAAAACCAAACTGGTGGCAGTAATAAATTTCAAGTTTATTAGTAAATTCTACCAAACGATTATACATGACCCTTTCAAAGATTTTTGAAAAACTAGACAAAATTGAAATTGGTCTGTAATTTGTGAATGTATCTACCTCACCAGCTTTATAAATAGGAATTATTTTAGCTACTTTTAGCTTATCTGGGAATAACCCTACCTCAAGTGAAGAATTAATTACCAGCATTAATGGTTCAGATATTAATTCAAACGATTTTTTTATGATATGTATAGGTAGGTTGTCGTAGCCAGGTGCTTTTCCATTTTTAAACGACATACATATCTCTCTCAGTTCATTAACAGTTGTAGGTTTAAGGAATATGGTTTCACTAATAGTAGGGCCTAAAAACTCATGAAATGAACGATTTGTTGGGGGAATCTTACGCGCAAGGGATGGGCCAATTTCAGAAAAATATTTACAAAAATCATTGGCAATTTTAGAGGGTTCATTGATAGTCATGTTATTTGATCGAAAAGATGACGGTAGTGAGGGCTTTTTACGTTTTAGGTTAGTGACTTCATTTATTAATTTCCATGTTGTTTTCAAATCACTTTTAGCTAATTCAAATTTTTTATCATAGTAAGTTTTCTTTGATATTCTAATTAGGTGATTCAATTTATTTTTGTATCTCTTATATTGAGAGTCACGTACAGGGGTAGGGTTTGCGAGATATTTTTTGTATAATTTATTCTTTTTTTTAACGGAAGTCAGCAAGCCTTTAGTAATCCATGGTGATTTTGATTTCCTACAAGAATTCAATTTAGATATTTTTAAGGGAAAACAATCCTCAAAATGCCTATAATATTCTTCGGCAAAAACATCGTAAAGTCTATTTGGATCCTGCCCTATCAAAACCCGAGTCCATTCGACCTGTGATAATTTAGTTTGAAACTTGATAATATTTAAATCATTGTAATCCCGAGTATAATAAGTGGTTTCATTATTTGGTTTCTCAAATTTAGTACTAGATAATGCAAACACAGGTAGGTGGTCCGACAAGTCGTTCAGAATAATTCCATTTACAATATTTTGTGTAAAACAATTCGTAAATATGTTATCAATTAGTGTTGCTGAATGAGAAGTTAGCCGCGTTGGCTTATTAATAAGAGGAATAAACATATGTGAAAATAATGAGTCTATAAATTCTTGTGTATATGCATGATGATCACAATGAAGTCTAGTGCAAATTCCGAAACCCCTACTAGTGAATTAAGTGAAACTGAAAGTAGTGCAGTAATCGAGCATGAGGTGGCTGTTTCCAGCAAGCACAGCACAGAAACTGGCAGTCCCAGATCAAAAGCGGCAGGGACTGCCAAACTGCCAAAAAGGGATTATTCGAAATATAAACATGTCTGTCTTCTTTGTGCCAAAAATGATACGGCAACTGCAAGGAACTCTGCAGTTCTCACTCGCGGGGGAGATTTCCAAGTTGAAAGGCATCGTAAAAGTCACCACTCTTCTATCTCACTGAAAGACATGAAATCGCATGTTGTACCAATAAATCACATATCGGTTACACGAAATGTAAGAGAATTAGCAGTACCAAAGCCGTCATCTGAAACCAAAGATAAAACTGGAGCAACCCATGACAATGGTACAATTCAAAAGAACAAAATTTCTTCTGCGATGCCATCTGTATCCAATGATGCACTACCACAAACTGAAAGCAATAAGAGCTTAGCTTCTGAAGGAAATCTTAACGAAAATATTAACAATGATGACATTACGATAACAGCTGGCAAAAATCAGATTCAAAAGGACCTTTCCGATTTTGTCACTGTTACCAGTCAAACATTTGAAGAGAAAATGGTGCATATGATTGAAAAACTAAGTAAAAAAGTCGACAATCTGAAGCAAGTCACGCCTCCAATGGGTCCACGTAATACAGGAACTACCGAAACTATGACGTGTGATCCCCGCCAATATTATATGACTAACTTTTGTTTAGTAAAATTAAATTGTGATACTTTAAATTGTGAAACATCAAATTGTGATACTTTAAATTGTGAAACTTTAAATTGTGAAACATTAAATTGTGAAACATCAAATTGTGAAACATCAAATTGTGCTACTTTAAATTGTGCTACTTTAAATTGTGAAACTTTAAATTGTGAAACATTAAATTGTGAAACTTTAAATTGTGAAACATCAAATTGTGATACTTTAAATTGTGAAACTTTAAATTGTGAAACATTAAATTGTGAAACATCAAATTGTGAAACATCAAATTGTGCTACTTTAAATTGTGCTACTTTAAATTGTGAAACATTAAATTGTGAAACTTTAAATTGTGAAACTTTAAATTGTGAAACATCAAATTGTGAAACTTTAAATTGTGATACTTTAAATTGTGAAACATCAAATTGTGAAACATCAAATTGTGAAACATCAAATTGTGCTACTTTAAATTGTGAAACTTTAAATTGTGAAACATCAAATTGTGATACTTTAAATTGTGAAACATCAAATTGTGAAACATCAAATTGTGAAACCTCAAATTGTGACACATCAAATTTTGCTTCGTTTGATCCGTCAAGTTATGCAACATGAAATTTTACTTTGTTAAATTGTGCTACGTCGAATTGTGGATTTGTGGTGAAATTAAATTAATCCAGTGTTGAACAGTTATATAAATTATAATTTCCCGCCGAAAATAATTAGTTTCCCGCCGAAGATAATTAATTTCCCACGGAAAATAATGATTTTCAAGATGGCAGAACAACAAGTGGTTGAGTTTATAAGGGGAACGCTATTACGTTTAATCAGACAGATTGAAAACAGTTCTGGCGGAATAGATAATCTTGATGGCATTTCGTATCGCCTGGACTGGCTGTACAACTCCATGGCACGATATTTCGGAGGGCAAGGACAAGATGTTGATGAACAAGTTATTACCCTTGTCGGTAATACTAACGATATCCTGAGGCAAAACGTGCAGAATGTTTCTCACTCCTACTCAGTTGCCCGTGTGTCTACTGGAGGACGTGGGCGACCAAAATTAAATATTCCGCAAGACCAACTGCAGTTTCTTGTTGAGAGAGGTTTTACAATCCCAGAGATTTCGCGTATGCTGAGCACAAGTGTAAGAACAATTGAAAGGCGCTTACATGATTTTGGACTGTCAGCGACCGAAAATTATTCGCATATTGATGATGAGTCTCTGGACAGGATCATACAAGAAATCTTGCGAGATTTCCCTTCATTTGGATACAGGCGAATGACAGGTGCTCTCACAAGCAGAGGTATCAAAGTTCAGCAAGTGCGTATCCGTGAAGCTATGAGACGAGTTAACCCAGAAGGAGTTCTTCTTCGCGCGTTAGCAATTAACACTGTAAATAGGCGTAAGTACCAGGTTTATGGTCCGCTAGCACTTTGGCATGTCGATGGTAATCACAAGCTTATCAGGTTTGTGCTTTTACATTTGATAGTGATACGGTTAAATGGAATCACGAATATTACATAAATGAATATATGTGATGTGTGTTCCATGAAATGGCCCATTCCATTTAATATACCCCCCCCCCCCCGAAAATTTCTGAGGGGGGTTGAAAAAGCCGTTTCCGAGGGGTTGTGTGCATCGGCATCCTTTGATCTTTGCGTTTTTTTCCAAGGGGTAAGGCAAAAATTTCTTAATTTCTGGAGGGGTGTTTGTGTCGGCACTTTGATCTTTTTTTCTTAGGGGTTCAAATTTTATTGACTTTGTCCACAGGGGGGTGTGTACATTAAATGGAATGGCCCAATGTACTAGCTGCCTATACTATTAATAGTTGTTGTATACAGGGTGTATAAAAAAAAACGAGACCTTTCGAAATCAAGCATATTGTTAAAATTTGAATGCCATTTCAATTGCACATATGCTGAACTGTGGTGCGTGAAATATTGATGGAGTGCATATATTAGAAAAAGGAGACCTTTAGAAATCAACCATTGTTATAATTTGAATTCTGGAGCACTTTGCTAAGCACATAGCAGATTGTTCCCAGAAGCAGACAATCTTTTGTTTAAACGTTATTTCAAATTCTAAAGGTCTCCTTTTTCTAATATATGCGTCCATCAATATTTCACGCACTACGTTTCAGCATATGTGCAATTGAAACGGCATTCAAATTTTAACAATATGCTTGATTTCTAAAGGTCTCCTTTTTTTTTATACACCCTGTATATACTTTTAGTATTTTTGCACAAGTGAACACAACAAATCCTACAATGTGATTGGTCAAATTTGTCGTATTAATCTGTCATATTCACCTACAGGTGAATACAACAAAATCAAAATTTTTAAAATGCCAGCTAGCCGTTTTGTTAAAATTAGTGATAAAGAAATAAGCGAAATTAAAATGAATTCAGACCAGAAAAACAAAAAACCTCGACTTCATCTCGGCGAATATTCCCCGATAATCACCTTGCCTTCAGCGAATAATTGTTAAATATTTTGACTTGACAGGTGGCGAATAGTGATTCACGGGGGAATTGATGGCTATTCAAGGATGATTGTATTTTTGAAGGCCAACCCTAACAATACAGCAGCTACTGTATTTGGTGTATTCGTTAGAGCTGTTGAACGATTTGGTCTACCTTCACGTGTACGTACTGACAAAGGTGGTGAGAATGTAGATATTGCACGATATATGCTGTCACACCCTCTTCGTGGTCCTGATCGTGGCAGTCACCTAACTGGCAGAAGTGTTCACAACCAGCGTATAGAGCGTCTGTGGAGGGATGTTTTCTATGGTTGCACTCACACATTTTATACACTATTTGGTTGCATGGAGGATTGTGGTATACTAGATCCTTCAAATGAGGCACATTTATATGCACTGCATTATGTATTCCTCCCACGAATCAACAAGCAGTTAACGGAATTTGTGAATGCACATGCTAGAGCTCCAACAAGTCACCTGAGCAGCTTTGGATTTCAGGACTTTTGAATGTTTTCAATTCAAACCATACAGTAGCTGAAGAATTAAGAATGGTAAGATCAGTTAGGCATATTTGGTGTTGTGACTTCTGTATTCAGGGAGAAAAGTTGTAATATACGATATATCACAAGCTACCCCAGCTAGCAATACAAATATATAGAAATGCAGTTCTTACAAGATTAACAAAGACATGTCGAGAATTGCAGTACACATGCAGCTAAAACTAGTAAATAACGTAACATATATAGGCTCATCATCCGATACCTTATAGCTCAATGACAATGGTTAGAGCGTCTGTCCGGTTATGAAAGTGGTTGGAAACCCGTTAGGGCTCAGAACTTTTCTGAGTATAAGGCTTGTCACGCACCAACACCAAATATCATATTTTTATGTACTATTTAAAAATGATAACTTATCAGACAAATTATTCATACCAGGGCACAATATCTCTGTCACCGGCCATTAGGCGAGCAAAATGCTGATATGACCGTCTACTAATTACTCTGCACGAACATTATGGCGGACCGTTTTGTCTAGTCAATTTGAATATTTATTTGTTAACCATTATGCATATGCACATGGTTTTGGACTTTTCGTAGTTGTTACGGTTTTGGTTTATAGTACTGACAATGTTAGTATTGAGAATAACTAAGTGTCCGACCAAAACATGGGTTGGTCTGACACAATTTCAGACCAAGTTTTCAGAATTATATTGAGCTCTGATTCATACCATGCACTCATTATTTATTAACAGTCAGAACACGACTTGGCCTTTTATGGCGTGGATTGGGATGCTCCTGCACCATCTGCCTTGTGGGATGGCGATCTTCATGATGATGCTGTTCCTGTAGAAGTTCCAGCACTTCCAGATTTACTTGATCCTGAAGATTTTCATCGGCTTGTCACTGAAGTTAACCCTTTACATGAATCAGAGGATAGTGGTGTTGATTTGTACATTAACACTCTTAACTTTATTTGTGCCTGTACTGAATAAAAACCCTGAAAGTAGTGCTCTCGAATCTACCAACCGCGTAGCATCGGGAAAGTGGGAAACTGTCATAATGTATTCGTACTGTTTATAATTAATGGCACAGCGTCCATGCTGAGCGATGTGATTTTAAGTCATCGACATCGTGACAATTTACAGCTATTTCAATTAAGGTTGTTGTCCACGAGCAAAGCGGAAAAGTCGAATTTAAGCGCGAATGGCTGCTGGGAACCCTAAAAAATTAATGAAGTTTCATAGCGATTCCCATCCGCCTTTCGCGCTCGTATTCGACTTTTCCGCTTTGCTCGTAGACAACCTTAATTGAAATAACTGTATACCGTACAGTAGTTATGTTGCCCATTCTAAAAATACTTGTATAAAAGGGGATCCTTATACTTCAGAATTATAATATTGTACTGGCACTTCAGCGAACCACAAACTATAAAAGAAGATATGGGTTACTTGTTTACATGTATATTTGAAAATGTAGTCAGGCATGTTTTATTATCCTTATACATTTTACACCGTATTAATTGAAAATATCAACGTTGATAATCCATAGCAAAAGCCCTTCGTAATTAAAGACGGACCATGAGGAAAGTGGATGGGCGGGGAGTGCATGCAGAAAAATCACACACATAAAATCATTCTGAAAAGTGTATACATGCAACCTTGCAGGTAGAAGAATATACCATAACACGTGAAGAAACCCCCACTACTCACTCTAAACGAAAAATAAAAATCTCTGTGTATTGCAGAAAAATTATCCACCCTCAATTCACTTTTATAATGGTCCGTCCGTAAAAAAGTGTCAATAATTATAGTTTTGTAACAGAACACGTTAATAATATCCCTAACACAACTCGTTAACTATCTCAACATAAAGTGTTTTATACTAACTTGTTTCATTGTTGCAGCTACATTTAAAAGAAAGTAACAATAAATTAATATTATTAATACAATAGATGTAATGTTTAAATTTAATAAAACTCACTAATACCGACGATTTTTTTTTTTGACACTCTCGTTCGCATAATTTTTTTCAATAGCTTATACTATTTAGATTCTTAAATTATAGTTAACGTTGAGTTTTCTAGCTTAATGCATTGCTTTTAAAAATACATATTGTTATGAGGTATAGCATTTGGTTTCTGGGCCTCATTTAAGGATGTGTAACTGGGGAGGACATATTTAGGGGGGAGGAAGGGGGCTGGAGAAGTTCCAATCTGCAAGTCTGCATTGGCCTGTATCACTGCAGTTACCAACATGGTTTAACTAATAAGTATACGTCATAAGGCAGTAAATCAGGCTATAATTAGGATTATGAGACAACCGAGTCGACAACCTAAGGTGCTTGCCAACCTCGTTCCCATGGCTTTCGTATAAGGACAAGGGGAGAGACGAGAAAGCCCTGGTCTGGTCAATTTTGCATTCTGATTGGCTAACACCATATTGTCTAAAAATAACTGAACTTGACAGTCGACAAAAACAATTCAACATTTGTATTTTTATGATTCTTGCGTCAGTTGCTCATAATTTTACAGGGCCCCTGTTGAGGCTATTGGTAAATTTTCAATGCCCCCCTTTCAGGTTTTTAAAATTTTCAATCCCCCCCCCCCTCAACAAAATAATTGGAATCGAAGGAGTACAATCTGGAATTCTCTCTTGTCAATTTGCAGTTCTCAAGATGTCTGATATACTCAAGCAAGCGTTTCTCCTCAACATAAATACCATCTTGCTGCTTCTTTCACCTCACTATTGCCAGATGAAATGGCACCGTCTTTAAAAAACATTTTAGATTGGCTCAAGGGGCGAAATTATCGACAGGTTGTTGTCCGTCATTCAGCGTAGTCGGAGTTTTGCTGTATCAGGTTAATGTTCTGGAACATTAGAGAACAGCGCCCCCACCCAACTTATCTCCTGGTATCTGTTGCAAATTTCTTTGCATGCTTGTCAAACGTGCATGCAAAAACCCCAGCAACCCCAGGCCAGGGCTTTCTCGTCTCTCTCCTCACCTTACACTAGTCCTTGAAAATCAAACCAGCTGATCTTCTGGGACTGGTCAAATTGATCCCTGCAACCTGCTGTTTTGCAACATTTTTTCCCCACCAAATACTGGGGCATGGTATCCCCCCCCCCCAGTTTGTTAGTGCAGGTATTTTTTTCTGTTCAGAATAACCTTTATTAATAGCAGGATTTTTTTTTTCAATATCACACCCCCTCAAAAGTTAAATGGTCGGCCCCTTATTGTTATTTCCAAAAAATGACTACGAACAAACCTCGTGGATTAGCTCTCGAAGATTTATATCAGCGATATCATCAAGGACGAGAAGAGGAGGGTTTTCGTCAACGTTGTAAGCCCAAAAGTGCTTAGCAGCCGATGATACACCGAATAATCCTGGCCCACCGTGTAAAATCGAATGACCAATCATCTTTCCAATACAAACGAACGCACCCATTTGCTGCAGCATTTGGTTATGCACGGGAAGCAAATGGTCTGCTTCCCCTTCAAAATAAACTACTGGCCTGCCAGTGCCACTCATTCCTTCGCGTGCTATTCCAAGTGCACACACAAAGAACTCTCGTACTGGTCCAGCACCAACTCCTTCCTCTCCTTCAAAGCGAACTTTCGGGCATGCTTTAAGGTTTTTCCGTGGATCTTTATATAAACCCAAGATATCTCGTTTCATGTCTTCGATTCCCTCTAGACGGCTAATGTAAAATTGCTCCCTTGCACTATTGACGTCCGTATTCTCTTTCCGAAATGTCTCTAAAGCCGCCATTGGATCTAATTTCTTGCTAACGTTTCCCATTTTCTCAGGGGTCGACTGGAACATTGAGAAGTTAATTAGGCATTCATCATCGTTTTCATTTCCGAAATCACCTAATAAAAGAAACAAAACTTTAAAAATGTAATTTTACTGATTTATAAATTCAAGAAATGATTTTTATGTTTAGTGTATCTATCATTAGTAGCCCTGTTAAGATGCCAATTTTAGGCAAATCCTTCAAATCGTGACAACAAGCCCGCACTTGGCACAATGATGATTATGATGTTAAGAATATGGAATGGAAGCCCAAAATTTCAGTAGGGAAAAGTACTTTTTTCGGACGTCAAAAATCCAAGATGGCGGAATCCAAGATGGCCGACCGATGACGTCAGTTATATGACGTCATCAGCATAATTACCACTATAATCACTTTTACACATTACAGAGATATACTTAGTATTTCAAGCAATCTCAAATCATAGAAATTGAACTAACAGAGGCCGATAAACTAACCCAGGCTTTAATAGCCCATGTACGATACTTCTTGGTACATTTTTCTTACTATTAAGTGTTTAAGACACAGTTACGCCCAGTTTTTGACTGTGCACTCCCATTTTTATATGAATTAAAGTATAAGTCTTTATAACATTGTTATTCTACTGTACCGTCAATTGGATCAGAAGGAATGCCCAAGATCTCTTGTGCAGTTAGGTCTAAATTCCTGTTATTTTGCCGTAAAGAAATCAATATTTGATGAGGATCTGCATTTGGACAAATTTCTTGTAAGACTGAAATATCCGATGAAGAGGATGTTGACATATCAGCATCACTCTGTGCAATGGCGGTGTTTGTGTGAGTTGAAGTTCCATCTTTAGTTCTATTGCAAGAAAAACATGTAGACGTTTCATACTTTGTGAAACTCAATAATTCATGATAAGAATTCAAAAGAAATCAATAGGTGTTGTACTTCATCCACACTTCACTTCAACCACAAATCACTTCTTTTTGAAGAATGTTTTCACTAAACATGCCTGTTTATTAATATAGACCAATTGCGAAAATTAGTGACCGCGCCTTCATACTGCACGAGAACGAGGCTTATTATGCAAAAACAAATCATTCTGCTATATTTTTATATGACGAAAAATGAATTTCAGTGTTTGAGACGCGTTTTTATGGTAATCTCTTCATTTTTTTCTCAATATTTTTGTTTTGACTATGTAAATCTTTATTAAACTTGTTCATAGATTTAGTCTTACTTCAACTTTCATTGTTTTTCGCGGCGTGCGAGGCAAAGTTTTGCTGTTTTTCGCCGTCCGATAAAAGAAGCAGATTATACCAGAGAAAGAATCAGGTATTTTCCGTCTGTTTTATTAATACATTTCAAAGAATAAGTTGTAACATTGATTAATTTTGTTTCAGTTGTAATATAATAGCAAGTTTTCGATTTTAACTTTAAAAATATGAAAGTAAATGTCGGGCAAAATTTGTAGAAATTTTGTGTTATTATCCTTTGACAAAATCGTTTTTTTCTCGCACGACGTCTAAAAAAATCTGGGTAGAAAGAGTTATATTTAGTTTGTTAACTTATACTGGCTATTTTATTTGCATCTTGATCAGATTTTAAAGTCTACAATGATCTTTTCCATATGTTTGTGCCATCGCATGCTAAAACAACAACGAAATATCTCTCCGAAGCGGGTAAAAATATAGTGGGAAATCGATGTTTAGATAAATTTAACAAATATTTATATAACCTAGCACGAAATATTAAGAAAAGATCAAAGAGATTCAAGAAAAAACACTTTAAAAACCCTATAATTCACTTTTCGCTATATAAAAATATAGCAATTGTTTTGTTTTTGCATAATAAACCTCGTTCTCGTGCAGTATGAAGGCGCGGCCAATAAGTTTTGCAATCGGTCTATACTGTACAACAACTATGCTGTATGTCCTGCGTTCGGGTTTATCATTAGTTGGGAGTTGCAGATAATGAATAAAGATTATGTGATTATTAAAGTTGGATGTTAGTTGGATATTCTTATCCATTTTATTAGGGGGGAGGGATATTGTATCCAGGACCGTGACAAGGGGTATTGGGGGGAGGAGTGAACACCCCCCCCCAAATTTTTTAGAATTAACATATTTGGAAAATCGGGTTAGACATTCGGGAAATTACGGCAATAATAGCATAGCAAAATTTTAGTTGTTAAATTAATTAAACAAAGAAAATTTAATATAATTGTAGTATTAGTATAAACTGATTTACGAAACCGTGGCATTTACATCAATAACATTTAACAAATCGTAATTTGGTAAATGTTTTTTTGATTTATTACTTCTAAATCGCAACTTAGCAACCGGGGCTGCAACCCTCCCAATAATTTCCTACTAATCATTCTTTTTTTCAAAATCATGCAGACCTTTATCATTTAAATAATATACCTTTAAAATACTGACAATTGATTAATTTTAAGTGGCTACATTATCCATGACAAACTGCAAAGAATCATATTACCCATACTTTTCTGCAACTTATCCAATATATAGTTAATTAAATACACATTCGACCATTTAGTACTAATAAATTGTAAGCAAATTGTAAATTTCGACAAACTAAAAAGCTGCTTTCTGACCATCAAAATTCTGTCAAAACTTCCCCCAAAGTCCAGGAAATGGCATTTCGGAGACTCTAATTTTAAAAATTTTATCGTGCCTTTGCCCCTCGTTCTCAAACCCAAATAAAAAAGCGCTTCCTATGGCACTGCATGCTTCTGTAATATATCTGCATGTGCGTAAAATACTGCGTATTTTTGTTTGTAAATTGCGTCTTCATTTTCCGGATAAACACCTTTGTGGCTTCATATGCCATCAAATAGAACTTTTTGGCCTACACCTCCCAACTATACATGCTAGCTACAGCCTTGACTGTATCTTTATTTGGAAGAAAAGGATATGGATATTGATTATTTTCAAAATTCACCCAGGATTATAGATTATTCTAAACCCCCACAATTATCATGCTTCCCGTTATATTATGTAAAACATAAATACGGTGCACACTACTCCTAGCCTTTGTAAAAGAGGAGAGGTGCAGAGGGGGTGCCAAGTTTGTTTTTATATCCAGCTTTTTTGAGTTAAATAGACATAACAAAAACAAAATGAGACAACAAAATGATTGTGAAATTGTCAAGCTACAATTTTGGCCAAAAACTATGGAACAGGCTCGTATTAGAGAGTGGGTGGGCTACAGCTAATCAGTCATAAATAGAAGCCTGTGGATAAAAAATTTTTATTTAAAATTTTCTATGGTTTATTTACACTACTTCCTATATTTCGAGAGAAACCTTAACATAATCTCTAAGACAATAAAAACTACTGTATTGTTAATGTCAGACTTTTATTTTTTGCTCCCAAAAAGTGGGGGCTATATACCCGCCCCAATCCCCTCTGCAAGATGCAAACCAATTGTCAATTGCAGCTAATTGCCCATGTGCAAGATGCAAACATTAAAAGCAGGGTGTGTGTGGAAAATATGAATCAAAATAAATATATTGTATAATACAGTTACATCTGAATATATGCAAAAACTAGATTGCCTCATCGTATTATTGCCAAAGACTGTATAACACAATTGAGAAAAATACATACTGTTGTCAAGAAGTTTAGTTTATAATAGTATACAAGCTACCTTAAGTAGGGCCCAGGCCTAACACATGTTTTTACAAAGAACTTTATACGAAAGCGATTTTACTCGAACTTTAGTTTATATTTTAGGTTTTATGTTTCGTTTGTTAATGTTTGATATTAAAATACGATGAATATAACAACTGTCAAATAAACCAAATTATCAAATAAATAATATTATTTATATAACACACACCGTCTATCTGTTTGCTGTTCACTTGCTTCCTCTCTTTGATCAGTGTAGTGACTATTTTCTTCTGAATCCTAAGACAGATTATTTATAAATGAATGTGGGCAAACTATTTCAGGGCACATGAAAAATCCATATGAATTCTTCTCAAAAATGTGTTGACAATACATGTTCCATTATCAGTTGGACCTTCTGGTATAAGGTAGCTAATATTTGAGTTAAGCCCCTCGAGTTAAGCCCTTTTCAAGTTAAGCACCAACCATGCCCAAACCACACCCATTTCTATCAAGTGCTTAAATTGAAGAAAGAAAAACAACTTGGAGAGTTTGAGTTACATGTTACACTCCGTGAAAAAAGAAGGGTTTAACTCGAATTAATTGAAAATATTAGACGCTCAAGTTAAGCCCCAACATCTTAGGCATGTAAAAGAGCAAACATTTGAGTCATCCACAATCTAGCTGGAAATAATTATAATATGTCTCGCCTTAGAATTGAATTAAATAAGCTGCAGCCTAAATGAGTCACAAACAACTCATATAAACAGTCAAATTTAATTAAGTAACAGATTATTTTGGACTAGTTTTTATATCTCTGAGCTTATTACAAATAAATTAACCTTTTACTTGAAATAAAGCCACAAGTCAATTCATTAGTAAGCTCAGAAGTACAAAAGATTGTCAAAAATGATCTGTTACTTAATGAAACAAGTTGTTTTCTTTCTGTTCTTAACTCAAAATGAGCTCAACTCAAAGCACTCTCTAGTCTGTGAACTTGTGATTGGTGTATTTTTCAATTAAATATTGTGGGGCAAGTTGCAGTTAGGGTTTTACACAATCCAACTTGTGCCAAAAAGTAGAAGCAGGTCTAACTTTCCCTTTATTCAATTGCAAGTTGCAAACTAGGGTTGTTATACATGACGATTTTTTCTTGTAATGCAATGACATTACAATTGCAAGTAAAAAAAAATTGCATCGTGTAATCATGGCCTTTAATGAAAGCCATTTGAAACTATATTAATAAACAATTTAACTAATTATGGAATAATTTAAATTGATTACCTCATTTTCACCATCATCTTGCCCTCCACATATCAACTGATGGGACCTCACCTCGGTTACAGGTAACAGCGTGCTACAGCTAATACACTGTACCCTAGGGCACTCTGTGGATGAACTTGCTAAATCCTATAAAGCATTCACACAAATAAAAAGTGGTAAAAAAATCTGGCAATGAAGAAATTGATAGTTCCAGGAAAGATCCACACTCATGGCCTTCATATAGGAAATTTCTGCCATCCGGAGTGGGAAGAAAAAATTGTTTCTGATAATATTAAGTGTATCCGGGTTAACTTTTACCAATTCCCTATGTGGAAGTATTCAGGATGTTTTCTGAAATGACCCAACATAGTTTACAAACTAATTTACATGCAAACTTTTAGATGCACATCCACAATGTTTACTTTATGTATTGAAAAATGTGCAGTTGGTATTGCAAGAGCATTCTTGGTCTACACTGCATGATGGCTGCCAAAAGTCATGTCATTTGGGAGTAAATACATAAATATCCAAAAACTCATGGAAGTTATGTAATATTTCATATGTCATTAAAGCAGTTAACAATCAAGGCTTACTGTATATCAAAAGGTATGCAATTACCAATTTAAAAATGTGATGTTTTCTGCAATCCCTCCCCCAAAAATTTCGATTCAGTACAATGAAGTAAATAAACACCACTAATTTCAATATGGTCTGTGGCCACTATTTGTTGCATATTACTCTCTCAACAGGGCTTTTATATAATAAAGTATTTGTCAATCTTTTCTCTGGTAATATGTAAACAAATTTCACAAGCCTCAACAATAATTCTATCCTGAACATTTCAAATTTATAATGTAATCATGAACATCGACATCAAAGTAATCAACAATATTGAGAGAGCTGAAACAATTCATAATGTTAAATTCCCTACTTCCAAAAGGCTCAGAGTCAAATGCCTGGGGAGGTACCCTGGATTCCAGAGCCTTCGACAGTAAATAATAAATTGAAACGTCGCGAAGGCTCTGGTTCAACGGGGAGATTCTTTGATTAAACCGCCTTCGCGACGTTTCAATTTATTATTTACTGTCGAAGGCTCTGGAATCCAGGGTACTGGGGAGGGGGAAAGGACATGAATCAAGAAAAAACAGACGTGGACAGACAATGAGAAACTGAGATGGCAACCATTACATTAAAGTGGGAGGGGGGGGGGGATGTTCTAATCAGATCTGTTGCTGATCAAGTTGTGTCAGTCATGTGTTCCACCCACATGTCAACATTTGTAAACACTATATAATCAGTTGTCTTGCTGGACTATAATGTATTTGAATTGTTATAATTGTTGTTCGCTCATCATCGTGTTATTTCTCAAATTTACAGTATTTCTTTTGTCTGTAATAATTGTTCTTCATCATTAAAAATAACACACACACACCCTGACCAGCCCCAAAACCCCCCCCCCCAGCCAATCACCCTGAATATAAATGTAATAATTAAAGTGCATATACTGTACCTGGAACAGTGGAGCTGGGTCAGTTTGAAGAGATTTCTGGATTGGCCTTACATATATCAACGCCTGGCCAATGCCAGATGACTCCCTTAAAAAAGGTACAGTGTATCCAGAAGGTGGTGGGGTTATGAGAATTATCTCCTTGTTAGATGCACCACTACGAAGAAGCTCAAAACCACCGCCAGTTTTAATTTTTGGATACACAGTCTCGATTTTCGACACGAATGCCAATGCATCATCAGTACGCCCAAATGTTAATGTTTTTCTTCCGAGTCCAGCTGCTTGTAGAGAGTTTTTTTCTACGAGTAGGTTGCGTATGCTGTACGTGATTCGCCAGGCACATAAAATCATGTGTCCAAGTTTCTTTCATGACGATCGAACGTCCACTTCGGCTTTTATTACTTTTTCGTCGCTTGTTAGGCGGATCGCTCAGTGCTCGAGCCCTTCCTTGACCCAGTGAGGCAGACGGCGAAGACGACATGCGATTGTTGCTATATGGTGCAAACAGTTGCCTAAAGTTGTCCAGTGCCCTATCTGCAACAGGTGCCACTGCCGTGTTCCGAGCCGTGCTCGATGGTCTACTATGCGGTTGTGTTGTTTCATTACTATTACCAGAAAGAAGGGATTCTGCTTGCCGTAACAACGATAGTGCTGCTGTCAAATCTCCATTGCTTTCCTGCGTTGACTAATCGTTAACTGAACCACTAGTGTTCGCCATGTTGAAAGCAACATTAACGGCGTTAATTTGTTAAAATAGTTAAATAAATTATTTTCGGCGGGAAAGTAATTATGCTCATTATGCATACTGAATTAATTTTACATTTGAAATTAATATCTTACACAATTTGATGTGTCACACTTTGATGTTTCACAATTTAAAGTATCACAATTTGATGTTTCACAATTTGATGTTTCACAATTTAAAGTATCACAATTTGATGTTTCACAATTTAAAGTATCACAATTTGATGTTTCACAATTTGATGTTTCACAATTTAAAGTATCACAATTTGATGTTTCACAATTTAAAGTATCACAATTTGATGTTTCACAATTTAAAGTATCACAATTTGATGTTTCACAATTTGATGTTTCACAATTTAAAGTATCACAATTTGATGTTTCACAATTTAAAGTATCACAATTTGATGTTTCACAATTTGATGTTTCACAATTTAAAGTATCACAATTTGATGTTTCACAATTTAAAGTATCACAATTTGATGTTTCACAATTTAAAGTATCACAATTTGATGTTTCACAATTTGATGTTTCACAATTTAAAGTAGCACAATTTAAAGTAGCACAATTTGATGTTTCACAATTTAAAGTATCACAATTTGATGTTTCACAATTTGATGTTTCACAATTTAAAGTATCGCAATTTGATGTTTCACAATTTAAAGTATCACAATTTAAAGTATCACAATTTAATTTTACTAAACAAAAGTTAGTCATATAATATTGGCAGGGATCACACGTCATACGAAACAGTCAGTGGCCTCCTGATGGATAAATTTAATGAGAACATGAAAGAGCCGTATCTTAAAATGAAAGAATGGAAAAAGGTTGGAAACATTGTTGAACTGGTAAATGCAATAGATTGTTTAGAACGATATCCCTTGTCCAGTTCAGACCAGGAAGAGTTCGAAGATGGTTCAGGCGCCATACTGAGATGTGAAACATGCTTTTTTCTTAACAAAGATAAGGCTGTGAAGCTCACGCCAGTTAGAGCTGCCAAAAAGCTGGCTGCTGATTGCTCAAGCATTTGCACAGGAAAATATCTGAGTCCAGATAGAATGGAAAGTCTTATGAAGGGTGAAGGAAATTACTGGAGAAAGTTGAAAAGTTCGATTTTGCAGCATATGATATGTGCTAATGATGGCCAAACACATTTCAAAGCTCTTTCTGCTGTCAACGAAGAAAGAAATTTAAAGCAAAAACATTATGATGCTGCTAAAACCTTAGTGAAAAGCGTATTAACAGCTGTCAAGGCTAAATCAGCTGCGATACATTATGAACAGCAAATCACTTTTGCATATTCTGTTGGAGCTCAAGTCGGGCAATGTGGACATTCCAGGAAAGTAGTCCCTGATCTTGTCAAGTGTTTGCTGCAAGTCATAAACGAGAAAACGAAAGAAGAATTGCTGAAATGCAGCACCTGCAATGACTGACGAGTTGCATCCATTGCAGTACCAAGTTCTGGGGCAGGTTAGAATATGATAACATATTATACACAATCTCGCAACTGTTGCAATATTAATATTATATTTGTAGGATTTTGTTGTTGATCTATTACTGATGCATGATGTTTTTCAACCGGTTGCGAAAGTGATGACATTGCTGCAAAGTATTTCTCTTCCACCTTGGAAAACGTACCCATATGCTCAGAAATTGGCGAAATGGTTGCTTGATGCCTCCATGGAATGTCATGAATTTGGAAATATGGAATACTTTCCAAAGATGAATGAAAATATTGAGGTGTTATACGTTATTCCTAAATCCTAACCTTTTTCGCGAACGCATTTTATTTTAGAGTTAGGCATAGAGGGATAGCAAAAGGTGACCAGTTGGTATGCATGTTATACAGTAGTCATCTGTCATCGATCTAATGGTTAGTTACATTAATTGTTCAGCTAATTATAGTCATTTGATTTTTTAATGTATGAGAACCTCCTGAATCATGATCCAGAGAGTGAAGATCCTGATGTGGAGAAACCAACATATGAAGGAAACAAGCTTAAATGTGGATGGAAAGTTATTGGAACTGAAAATTTAGCAACCAGTAATGCCAAAAGTAAGCAAGTTCTGACGAACTGGGTCGAATCAAAGGTAGCGTCTCTGTTGTACACAAATGAAATCTTGTATGACAAAGCAGGAAGCGTGGCAATGACCGCATTTGACATTGCTACATCCATTGGGGGATCTGAAGCAATTGTTGAAAGTTTCTACAGTGTTATGGACACTCAACGACAAGTGCGCCAGCTGCATACCACTTTGGAAAACCGAACCATACTTGACTGGGCTACAAGCAACATGCTAAATCTTGAAGATGTTATTTCAAAGGCCGCTAAACTTTACGTTGATGGATCATCATCATTGAAACTACCACGTCATCGTGTCAGGGTAATGAAGAAAAAGACAGAGAAGTCATACAAGGCTAGTCAGGTTCTGACGCGAATGAAGTCAGAAAAGGGACGCTATTCATTCCTGTCATGAAAAGTAATGAATCATTAAAGTGCCTATGACACGAAATTTCACCCCAAAGGTTTATGGTTGCATTGTAAAGATCACTTAAAATGACTTAATAATTTCTTTTATAGAATTTTGGTAACTTGCTTCCTTTTCAAGATATTCAACTTTGTTTCGTATGCAAATATCACTGGTGTGACATCACATCACATAATGAGTTTTCAGAAAAGTATAGTTTTCTTGACGAATACGTATCTAAAAAACTTAAAAATTGCCCTTGTATATGTATTTGTTTCATAACTGGTCATTAACCCTCTGTATTTGTTTGTAAAAATATTTTATCAAGGTAAAATATTGCGTTTGCAAAATCTCATTATGCTATGTGATGTCACACCGGTGATATTTGCATATGAAACAAAGTTGAATATCTTGCAAAGGAAGCAAGTTATCAAAATTCTATAAAAGAAATTATTAAGTTATTTTAAGTGATCTTTTCAATGCAATCATAAACATTTGGGGTGAAATTTCATGTCATAGGCACTTTAAAGATTTGTTGGCTGCTAACATTTTAATTATGTACCAAACTTTTAACACCACTTTGAACGGTCAAATCCTCTACGGATAAATTTGACACTTCAGATTTAACAAGTTCACATTATTGGATTTTTACAATATTATTGGATAAATTATTAGATGTTTAAAATCATTCATTTGATGAAATCTTTAAAACACTATTGTTGTAGTTTAGATAACAAAGAAAAACATTTGCGTAATACTACATATTTTTAATATCTACCAGTGCTCTGGTGTATAACAACTAAATAATTGGCAAATTTGCCAAATTCAGAAATTCTGACCTTCGTTGCTAGTACACACTTGTTATCCCCCCCCCCTCCCCCCACGAAATCGAACGTGCACAGGTCAGGAGCCTGCTGGCCATGTGCACAACATGTGGTGCACAACGAAAATTGCGTTTAAATTGTGCGGTGCACAGAAATGTTACATTCTATACTGGGTGTACTGTATGAAAGCCATTTGCCTTGCAGGCCATTTCTAGGATCATGCATTTGTGTCTGAGATTTATTAGTGCACCAGAGCCCTTGGATTATTATTATTTATTTCACCCATAAACAATAGTATTTACAGATTACAGTATATACAATTTTTAGATAATCTAAATTAAAGTTTGGGCTAGTAATTATAATACATGTTTCGGAATTTAAATTTCAAATCACTGTATTTACTATAATTATAATAAATAGCAATGAAATTCAAATATATTCAAATGAGTTCATTAATCCCCGTGACAATGTGCCCGGCATATTTTCAAAATACTCATTAAATGCTTGGCAGTATAGAATTTTGTAGTTTTCTTAGATTAAACCCCCTACAAAACCTTACCCAAAACCTAAGCCTAAACCCAACTTCCATCAACCTAACCCTAGAATGTGAAAAGGAGTCAGAAAAACAGTTTGAAGTCATTGAATAAAAGTTATTGAACCAGACTCCAATCCGCGACATGCAGGCCAGCCATTGTAGGCACTTACTAAATACTGTGTATTGTATGTACTGTACACATGCACAATATTGTTTTAGACAATAATGCACTGCTAAAAATATTTGAGATCCTGTGACAATACTATATGCATGTAATATTGGGTGATACTCAGTGACATTGGGGTCCAGAGTAAGCCTTTAATGCAGGCTAGCCAAAATGGCAAAATTCCTTGCCTCCATGTGAACAAATAATAAGCACTCCCTTACAATAAAAAAGACCATGTTGAATAACCTGGAGTAGACATGGTATCGGTGGGAAATTTACATATTATGTAGAGTCCACAGCTGACATGCTTACATGTTGCAGGAACAAATCTTTTTGTCTGATTTTAATGCTTTCTAATTTTCAGGTTAGAACATTTTAATATTTTGATTGTTCAGTACAATCATACTATTCTTATTATTATAGGGATTACAGCTTTTAAAGTGGTGTTTTCCAATACTAATTTTAGAATGATGTTCGTCGTAAAATAAAAATTCTATCGGAATCACTGGATGATGAAGTTGCTCTCAACATTAACGAAAGGTAGTTATATCATACCAAGATATGCTTTTTGTGGAAACACCACATATTGTAAATTATCTTTAAAAACTCAATAATTCATAAAGAAAAGACAAAGGAAATCACTAGCATGTCGGTGGTTTTATATCTGATAAAAAATCCTGTAAACTTTAGCTTTGATTTTCTCGACTTAGACAACGTTTATTTTTAAAATTACTTCGCTAATAAACTCGTAAGATGGGTCGTTTTTTAAGCCATTTAAAACACTCGCAGTCCGTGCTTTATCAGATATAAAACTCTCGGCTGTCGCCTCGAGTTTTATATCTGATAAAGCAATCCTGCTCGTATTTTAAATAGTGCTTACAGGGTGCGATAATTCGCGTACTTACGTACCTGTACCGGAGGTACGCCAATATTACGGTCTGGTACGTCTTTGTTTTCAGCCAGGTACCACGTAGGTACACAGACCTCTCACTATTTGCGTACTTACATTTTGCTGGTACCAAAATTATTGGACTGATGGGACTAAGGCTAAGGAACGAGTCGATTCTAGTGTTTGTGTATGTAGTTGTCGTCCTTCTTGTTCTAACTCGTGGTTTCAGGTTACTGAATTAATACCTTTCAGAAACCTGTACTTAATTATGTACTTCATTTTACAGACTAAGTACACCATCTCAAGTACGCAGCAATAATCATTGGAGTGCCAGTCAGGTACGACTAAAAATCTTGAATTGTTGCACCCTGCCTTACCCAAAGCTTTCAATCTGTAAGCCTGGATCATGGTCAGTGGAAATAGATTATCAATACTACAATGCTACTAATAATAACAACAAAAACCCTTCAAACAGCCTCGTAATTGGCCTATTTTTGCCTCGGCAAAATTGGGGATTTTTTGCCGGGGCAAGTAAGAACATTCTGAATATGCATTCGGCATTTAGTTCGGCAATTGCCGAGGCAAATTACGAAGGCTGTCAAAGAACTTACAGTATATATTAGTTATACTTTACTGGTATGATACAGTCCTGTACTGGTGCTTTATAATAGATAAGCTAATTTGGGATTCAAAGTCACTTTAATTACGTTCATGCATGTAATCTGTATTTTTCTCATTTTAGTTCTGAATCAGACCATAATCTTGCCGTTTGCCAGCAGTTCACAAATGAACTATTTTTGGAGTATGGTGGACAAGAAAAATGCCCTTGGACATGCATTATTCAAATAAAAGGTATACAGAATAGAGCTAAGTATAATAATTAAGCCGCCACACTGTTTCCTTAATTTTTGTTTTACTGATGCCAGACAATTTTACCAATCTTCTCACAATCTTCTTGACATAAAGTTTCATGAAGGCGAGCCAGAGGGGTCAGCATTGCATTGCTTACACTTTTTTACAAGAACCAGTACAATTTTGCCAAGGCTCAGTGTTCTTATTTCTTGACCAATTTCAAGCTCAAAATCTTATTGGTTCTTATCTTACACTCGCTTCAGGAACAAAAAACCTGACAGAAAGTTAAATTAAATGTATCATCACGGTAGAACTTATCCTTGACACTGGAAAAAATTTTGAAAATCCATAGAAGTCCATAGAATGGAAATTGTATGGACCTTTTTTGAAAATAGCATGGATTTTGATTATCCATATTAATTGTATATTTCCATACTGTGGATATAATATCGAAACAGGGGTTTCAGAATGATTTGAAGTAGGCGGTTGTACCAAAAAAGTAGCCGGCTGTGACTGATAGTTAAAAAAACGCGCAGGGAGGGGGGGCACCCTCGCATGGAAATTTAAAAAATTTTCGCACGCAAATTAACAATCAAATAATATAGAATAAGTGATAAGATAAAGTACAACTGTTCACTTGTTAGATTTAGATGTCATTTGCATTTATACTTGTAAGTGACAATGTACTTTAATGTGCTACTTGTAGTTTGATCACAAAGGTGTTTGCTGTCCGGAAAATGAAGACGCAATTTACAAACAAAAATATGCATATTCTGCGCACAGACATATTACAGTAGCTGAGCAGTGGCGTAGCCAGCCCGACAATTTAGTCCCGCTATGCAAATTCAAAATTATTATCATTATTCATTTCTTTAGAAACTGATTGTTTTCATAGTCAATGAACATGAAAATATTTGCATAGCGGGACCAAATAGTCGGGCTGGCTACGCTACTGTAGCTGAGTAGCATGCCGTGCCGTAGGAAGCTCTTTTTTATTAGGGGCTGAGAAAGAGGGCCGCAGGCCCGAGGAAATTTTTTAATTTAGAGTCTCTGAAATGCCATTTCCTGGACTTTGGGGAAGTTTAGAACAGAATTCTAATGGTCAGAAAACAGCGTTTTAGCCTATGTCGAAATTTACAATTTGTTTACAATTTAGTAGTACTAAATGGGCGAAGGCGTATTTAATTAACTATACTGTATATTGCATGGAGAAGTTGCAGGAAAGTATGGGTAATATGATTCTTTGCAGTTTGTCATGGATAATGTAGCCGCTTAAAATTAATCAATTGTCGGCAGTATTTTAAAGGTATATTATTTAAATGATAAAGGTATGCATGCATATTTACCGATTTACGATTTGTTAAATGTTATTATTATATATCAATAGTCAAAGTCGCATTTTTCTAGTGTTTTATTGGTTGAGAGCATATCACGTGAGAGTGACGAAATTAGGCTGTCTCCCTCGCAACAGCGCGAGAGGGAGATAATACGTTATCGACCGGCGAATAACAAAAAAAATCACGTGCACCATCACGTGAAGATGCGACCTTTGGACATGCCTAGTACGTAATTAAAACTTTCGCTTTAAGTAACTGCAGTGTAGCCAGTGTTTAATATAACGTTTTAACAATAAAATGTTTCATGTGTTCACGTTCATTTGTTCTTTAATTTGTTGTTTCTGTGACTATTGATATATAATAAAACACTTATTTACGGAGACCTCGGGAAAGCCGTGTGTTTTGTGGACCCTCGACCGTCGATGTTTCCCTCGGCTTCGCCTCGGGAAACATCGACGGTCTTGGGTCCACAAAACACACTGTTTCCCTCGGTCTCAGTAAATAAGTGATAAATATCCATGTAAATCCATGATTTCGTAAATCAGTTTATACTGACAATACATTAATACAATACATAAAATATACTATTATATTTTCTCTGTTTAACAACTAAAATTTTGTTATACTATTATTGCCGTAATTTTCCGAATGGCCAACCCGATTTTCCCAATATGTTAATTCTAAAAAAGTTGGGGGGGGGGTTAAATCCCCCCCTCCCCTCGCTACGGCCCAGAGTTTTTCACTTCATTACTTTATCATAATTAATTCGTTGTCGGAGAATTAGTCACTTGCCAAAACCATTTACCAAAGTGGCTCTGGAGGTTCTCTGGCTCACTGTCACATTCCCCAATGGCAATGCTTAAGTCACTGTCAGAGTCAATCAGAGTTATCTTCCAGGAAGATTCACTTCGACACCAACTTAGAAAGCAAGCTATGTTTGGTACTATATATTATTGATCTTATTGATCTTCCAAAATAAGTGATGTTTTGCTTGAATTCCAATTGGAACATAACAAACATCGTGTTGGTTCGCTTGTACCTTTGTAAATAATTTTTTTTCCTGTGACCAGACGAAAAGTAGCCGGCGGTAAAAGTTCAAGTAGCCGGCGGAACTCCGCCGGCTTATTCTGAAACCCCTGCGAAATGGTATGGATATATTATGGATTTAGTGGTACAATTGTAAATTTCATAGTATGGATTACACATTTTTTTCCCAGTGTGAAGGGCATAAATGAAGAATGAAGGGAGTCTTATTATATTTTTCGACTTGTGTGTCACTGACGGTAAAATTTTCATTTTTCTCAGCCTCAATTTGTTCCTATTGGCTATTTTGTTTAATTTTTTGCCAATTTCGGCCTCAGTGTTCTTATTAAGAGTGTTCTTATCATAAAAGTGTATTTGTATCACCCATTGGTATATGCTCATGGTTCAAATGTTTTGTTAACAACTGAATCGAATATTAAAACCTGTCAAAACACAATGCAAGTTCCACAGCGAATTTGTAACGTTATACACTTTATATTTGTGTTTATCTTTACCTAAAAGAAACATTTTTTTACTTTTAGCGGCATTTAAGACTTATATGAAGTCCAAAAAGGCACATGCTAAAAGAACACTTGATGGAACTAATGCGGCACATGTGAAGAAATGTTGTCGATCCAACAGAAAAAGAGAGGTAACAAATTAAATGACAGTACAATTTTATGGTGCGTACAAAGAATTAAAGCGTGGGTTCTGCAATATAATTAAACTACCATATACAGGGAAGCGAAGTTAAGGCCCTGTCACACTATTGGCGTATCATATAGCGTATGCCAGCGTATGAAAAATATTACTTATACACTGGAAAACGCTGACATACGTTTGGGGTACGTTAGGAATATAGGTTGTATACTTTTCAAGCACGGTCGCATACGCTGGCATACGGTGAGGCAGAAACTTTTTTTAAGCATGCTTAAAAATTTTGTGCGTATTCGGACGTATGGTTTATTCGATAAGCATACTCTACGCACACGCTGAATACACTAGAGGTACGCCAAATGTACGGTACTCATACGCTGGCATTTCAAAGGATTTTTGTGCGTATATGAAAATTATTTCATTCAGTTTCATACGCTTCTCATACTTTCTCTCATACGCAATAGTGTGACAGGGCCTTTAACGATCTGGACATTTCACACCTTTATTTACGTTTAAAAGTTGTATTTTGCGGCTGTCGCTTCAAACTTCCTGGTATAATCCTAAATTGTAATTTGCAGTTCAAACATTTTAACCATTTGGAAACCAAACGTACAGCAAAGTGAAAAAGTGTCCTCGGTTAAAGAGATGTTTAACCCAAAATTTGAAAGTGGGAATAAACAATTAACCAAAGAAAATTTTTCTTTTCGTAGAAATTAGGAAGACGTCTGTCGAGTTTGAACAGTAAAGATTGGACGCCTGAGCGAAAAGCGAAGGTAGCTGCTGTCCTTACTCTGGACTATATTTCCAGCGAGGAAAGTGATGCGGACGAGGAAGGGAAAACTGTTTACACTGTTAAAACGTTGCCTTGGCAAAGTCAGAATTTGAAGAAGAAGAAAAAGAGCCTGGACAAACACCATATGGAGTCTCTTCCAGCGTTGGTGAGGCGTAGGCTATACCTTCGAAAAGAAGGTGGCATGTCGCTTCGCCCTAAGCCCACCAATTGCCCGGATTGGGCTTGCAAAGACGACTGAAAACTTTGTTAGTAAAATATCTAGGATAAAAACGTTCAAGGGAAGCACTTATGTCAGCGGTATTTATTCACAATAACACGGTTTTCAATTGCACTGTAGATTTCACCTATAAATACTCTATAGACTACACTACACAGTATATAAAGCAATAGTATTCTCTGAAAATAGACGTAAACATTTTGAAATTCTTTAGTCTACGTTTCGACTAGATTGTAGTCATAATCCTGATCATGACTACAATCTAGTGGAAACGTAGAAATAAAGAATTTCAAAATGTGTACTATTTTCGGAGTAACTATTGCTTTGTATAGGTACAGTATTTTATCAAAATACTACAGTCAATGTATTTTATCAAAATACTCGGTGGTTCCCGTAATACGGTATATATTATTACCACATGACTCTAACATCAAGATATTCACAGTTTTGGTCTACATCAGACTGTAACTGAATTAAAGTAAAATATATACCTTTGGAATATACAACGTGAGAGCTATAGATAGTCTTAGATAGACTATTACTGTAACCACTGAGTGTTTTGATAAAATACAAAACAACTGTAACTGCGAAAAGGAATATTTTAGTTATGTCGCCGAGCATTCGACTAAGTTCTTTCTAATCATCATCAGACTCATGAACATTTCAATTATAATGATTATCTTTCAACTAAGTTCTAAACATATAATATATATATATATATATATATATATATATATATATATATATATATATGTGTGTGTATATGTGTATATGTGTATATATGTATATATATATATTATATATGTGTATATGTGTATATATGTATATATGTGTATGTATGTATGTGTATGTATGTATGTATGTGTATGTATGTATGCGTATGTATGCATGTATGTGTGTGTATGTATGTATGTGTGTGTATGTATGTATGTATGTATGTATGTATGTATGTGTATGTATGTATGTGTATGTATGTATGTGTATGTATGTATGTGTATGTATGTATGTGTATGTATGTATGTGTGTGTGTGTATGTATGTGTATGTATGTATGTGTATGTATGTGTATGTATTTGTATGTATGTATTTGTATGTATGTATGTGTATGTGTATGTGTATGTGTATGTGTATGTGTATGTGTATGTATATGTATATGTATATGTATATGTATATGTATATGTATATGTATATGTATATGTGTATGTGTATGTGTATGTGTATGTGTATGTGTG